AAGTCAGCCCTAGGTGTTGATGAAGCTCACTGGGTATAGTTCCTTGGGAGTAGTTCCTTAAGTACAGCTCCCCTCAAAGACTTTTAAACTAAAAAGACAAATCATCTCTACTGCCATATTCAACATCTGGTGGTGGATAATATGAGGTGGTATTTTTGTCAATGTAATTCTTCAGAAAACTTTGTAGGCGTCCTGTGATTCTTACTGGGTTTTATTTCATTCAGTAATAAAAGCCACACCCAAAAATGTCTTAGCATGAACTTTGGCTGAAACTGAGTGGCGACTTCTTTAAGCTTCTCAAAAGCCCTGTTGTTTGAATGTTTTTTTTTTTTTTTTTTTTTTTTTTTTTTTTTTTTTTGAGGCACAATTTTGGATATTTGTGAGGTCTTAACTAAGGATTTTACAGTTATACCCTTTATGTATTTTTTGTTGTCCCTTGAGTCAGAAGCCTTTCCTCTTTTTGTTTTAACGGTTCTTCCTTTAGCTGTATATGTCTTCTCTTATATTTTAGTATAAACAGCAAGAAGCCAGCAGGTACCTTCAACACTCTGGAAATCTCCTTAGTTTGATCACCCTCTTCATTAAGCACAATTTCTACGTTTGATGTAACTGTAGCTAACAGTGTTGCTCAAGTTTTTATCAGTATATAATAAGATTTCTCTTGCCTCCAGTTTGTACAAAATTTTACTCACTTTCCTTTTAGCCCTCACCTGCACCAGCCTCAAAGGCATTAATTTTCTACAAAACAGTTTCTTCAAGGTTCTTTTAGCTTTCACCTCACAGATCTGCCAGCTTCCATCTATTGCCTGATTCCAAAGGCTCTCTCCCATATTTTAGGAGTTGGGTACGACCAGGAGAAATATTAATTCTGTTGGTGTCACAAATTACCCCGAACCTTAGTGGTTTAAATGAATACACATTATTTCAGTTTCTGAGAGTCAAGAATCTGTGTAGTTTTAGTTCAGGGTTTGTCCTAGGTTGTGGTCCAGATATTGGCTATTGCTGGTCACCTGGAGGCTTGACTGGGGATGAAGGGTGTGCTTCCAGACAGGCTACTCATAGGGCTATTCATAGGAGGCCTCAGTTTCTCACTGGCTGTTGGCGGGAGACCTTACTTTCCTACCACATGTGTTTTTCCACAGGGCTCCCTGAATTTCCTCACAACATATCTGGCCTTCCCTAGAGTATGCATTCTTAATGGAGTGCTATTGACCCCATTAGGTGACAATTGGTTCTTTAGAGGGATCTAAAGATCTAAAAAACTTAAGATTTTATAGTGACATATATCCTTCCAAAGGGTGATGGTACCTAAACATGTAAACAGTGTATTTGTGGCATTAAAATTTTGTTGGGGGCCTATTAGGAATAAAATATCTAGAAGGCTATCAGGTGAGGAATAATGAAAACAAGGTTGAGAAACACCATCTCAAAGGAAATGATCTAAGAAAGAGCAGGATTTGGAAGCCATAATGCCATTTATGACTTGGTCTTAGAAGTAACACACTGCCACTTTTGCATCATTCTTTTTGTTAGGACTCACTTGAAGGGAGTATCAAAGAATTGTGACATCTTAAATCACCACTGCATGTAAAGAAGGATAAGGGCATTCCAAGTAGAGGAAACAGCAAGTGCCAAGGCCCTGAAGCAGGAAGATGACTAATGTGGGTAAAGCATGGTGAGGGAGAGTGCTATGAGATGAGATTGGAAAGGTACTACATCATGTAGGATCTTGCAGGCCCTATAAAAGCTTTTACATTTTAAGTGAAATGATTATTTAAGTATTTAAGCAGGGTCACATGATATTGTTTACTTTTTAAAAAGATCACTTTGACAAGAGTGTGTGGAGAAATAGGTGGGACAAGAGTGAAAGCATGGGGACCAATTAGAAGGTTCTTCCAGGGGTCCAGGTGAGAGATCAGGCACACTTTGACTAGGGAGGTAGCAAAGGAGACCAAAAGAGGCAGATATGTTGCACTTTCAAAGTAGAACTACAGTAGTTGCTGACAGATTGGGAACAGGGAGGGGGAAATCAAAGATGACTTCTATGTTTGGCTTGGAGGATGTTGGTGCTGGTTATCGATGAGAAGATTGGGAGAACAGCAAAGTTGGATAAATGAAAAGCTCCGATTTTAGCCATGGTAAGTTTGAGATATAGAAGGGGAGAAATCAGTATTCAACAAAAATTGGAAAATCTTGCTGTGTGACTAGTTTTCTTTTCATATTAAATCTTTTTTAGATTTTCCTGAGAGCTGTATATGCATGTCCTTTTCTACTTTTTATATTATTCACAGTGGGTATCAGTACTGCTTTTGTCTGGGATTTGACTTATGATACCAGAATATAGAAAAAGTTGTGGTCTGGAATATATACATAAGGATAATTTTTTTAGTATGAATTTAAAGGCTTAGCACAAGTTTCCTTAAAATGTTTTTAATTGCAATAGTAATACATATTGCTAGTATCTAAAAAACACAGATTAGCAGATAACTGAACATGAAAATTATCTTTAGTATTACTGTTCAGAGAATACAAACACCTTAATATATATTTTTCTAGTCTTTTATTTCATATGTACTTGTGTGCATACACACATATGCAAATAAACATTAGATCTTAATGTGCACAGTGTTTTGAGCTGTAGACAGTTTTACAAAATGGTAAGAAATAACATTAATTTTCACTGCTTAATTGAGAATATATACCATATGGATTGGCTTTGAGTTGCATGAGGTACATAATAGGGTGTCGAAAATAAAGAATACATTCCAGGGCCAGTCAGAGTGTCTGATGCCTGTAATCCCAACACTTTGGGAGGCCAAGGTGGGTGGATCGCTTGAGCCCAGGAGTTCAAGACTGGCCTGGCAACGTGATGAAACCCCATCTCTACAAAATATAGAAAAAAATTAGCTGGGCGTAGTGGCAGGTGCCTGTAGTCCTAGCTACTGGGGAGGCTGGTAGGAGAATTGCATGAGCCCTGGAGTTGGGGTTGCCATGAACTGTGATCACACCACTGCACTTAAGCCTGGGGCAAAGTGAGACCCTGTCTCTTTCTCTCTCTCTCTTTTACACACACACACACACACACACACACACACACACACACACACATCTTGGTGTGGTGTTGTGGGCCTGTATTCCCAGCTACTTGGGAGGCTGAGGCTAGAGGATGGCTTGAGTCCAGGACATGGAGGCTATAGTGTAAAGAATATGATTTTTTTTTTCCATAGTCCAGAATATCCCTTGCAGGTGTAATGGCTTGACCTTTGGTTTAATAATTAAGTTTGTAGAAAGATAGCCCAGATAACATTGTCCATGCCAGTAGTATATTCTTTACTCTGCTTTTATGAAAAAAGATAGAAATGACCTCCCAGACCATGCAGATATCAGGGCCTGTAAGAAAGTAAGAAAGTAAGTCATAGATCTGCTGTGGAGTTGGGCACTATTCATCTCTAGGCCAAAATACAATGGACACTCAGGGTTCTTGTGAGTCACTGGTTAAATTATATGTCAAATAAAATCTGTTTAAGACATTAGGAAAAACTCACTAGATTTTGGAAAGAGTGCCAGAGGGAAAAATTAATTTGGATTTAATATTTGGGCATTTTGATGATTAAATCCTTAGTATTCATGGAAATTCCCTTATTCTTGTGAAAGATTTATTTTATTTTTATTAACTTGATAATTGGCTGACATGCCATCAAAGCACTTCACCCTTCTTTGGGAAACCAAGGTCTTTAGTAGGAATATTTTTCAAAAGGAATATCCACCATAATGTTCATTTACCATGAGCATTGCCATGATAGGCAAGAGACAACATCACATTTTCTTTCGTTGGGTAAGAGTCATTCAACGTGATTTTTATTGCCTGCCTAAGGATAGTGCTCGAAGTAGTGGTTCCACTATTCTGTTTCATTTCAGAATGTTACTTTTTCTTTTCCCTGACTAGTAAAATTCACCCTTCATTAATTCAATAAAAATTTATTTAAAAGCAAATAAAATATAACCACTGTTTATTCAGTGCTATCCACTAGGCTGAGTGGTAAGAGTATGGAAATAATCGGCTTGTTCCCGATTGTTAGGGAGCTTTTGGTCTTTACACTTTCATGGGGGTGAAGGACAAGTAGATTTATCAGTCATAAAGTGATTGGGATATGTTTAGGGTTCCTCAGGAGCATGAAGGAGAAACATCTAATTCAGAATGGGGGACTGAAAAAGGCTGAACCTTGAAAGATGATTTCTGGTTAGCCAGAAGTATGAGGGGAGAGGGATATCAGAGAGAGAAGGTGGGAAGTGTTACTAATGTTTTATTTCTGAAGGTGATAGTGAGTTCTTGGAAGTTCATTGTATTATCTGCATCACTGTATGTCAGAAGACTTTAATAACAAGCATTTAATTGTTAATTCTTAGAGGTGATTTCTGGGTATCGATAACAAAATATGAAAGTAAGAATTTTCTATTGTATAGAAACTGGAGGCAGGGGTACTATAAAGGAGAAATTATAATAGATGAGTAAAAGTAAGTTTATATGTTATTTGCCTTTTAAGGATAAGTTTCAGTTGGGGAAAACATTTTTACTTTTTGGAAATTAAGATTTTAAAAAACCTTATGTTTATATGCTTTCTATTTTTCCTTTTCAGATTCAAGATACAATCATTCTTTTAAAATGTTCTGCTTTTAGTCTTTTGATATGTTGTATGCTGTTGTGTACAACTAGGCATTTAATACATTTTCCATTTTGATGAAAACATTTACATTCTGGCCCACTAATTTTTTTAGGCTCATGCTTTTTAGAGGGAAGTTTAGCTATCTCTTAAAATTTTTAAATTATTTTGGAAGCTTTGTAGTCTTGCCTAGTTTTAGTTGCAGATTACATTATCAGGATGAAAATTAGGAAAGAATACATGTAAAAAACTTAATTTTTTAAAGAGGAAATTTGATTTTACTCTTCTATGATAAATGCTTAAGAAAATAATCATATATATCTTTTTTTCCTCTTTTAGCCTTTCTAAGAAAAGTCTACAGCATCCTTTCTCTGCAAGTTCTCTTAACTACAATGGCTTCAACAGTTTTTTTATACTTTGAATCTATACGGACATTTGTACATGACAGGTAAGGTAATGAGATGATAATGAATCATTTTCAGACATTGCATATGATCAAAAAGGCATATTATAAACAAAATCCACTTTATTAACTTTTGAGGTTAAAATATAAAAAAGTTCATTAACTAACTCTTACAAGCCTGATTAGTTGTGTTTTTGATAAAGAAAAATATTCCACAGCATGGTATTTACCTGTGAACTTTTTAGCTTCAGTAGACCCTCATCTCCTGGAATAGTATTAAGAATTTTTACTGCATGCCATTTTTAAACATCTTAATTTTTACAAACTTTATTAGACTATAGTCCCTGTGCTCAAAGCCTAAGACAGTGCTTGAAAAATAAATATGCATTCATTTTAGTTTTCGCTCATGACTAGGATAATTTCACCAAGAAGTTTTCAAAAGACTGCCATGTGATTCATTCCTGATTAAAGTCTGACCTCCAACATAATTATTTCCATTGCTAAAAATAATACAGTTTTGCTATATTAAAGGAAAGGAGACCTAATGAATATTTTCATAGAAGTAGAGAATTTCTTTTCCTTTCGCCTTCACCAAAGTGGAGTCTTGAACTATTATTTTGCTGTTTAAGGTATAATTATTTAATTTAAATTACAGCCATATGGCAAATACCCTAAAATAGTAGTTGTTATTATTTAATTTCTTTATTGTCTAATATTAGTATAATAATTGCAAACATTATTCATATGATAGAAGTTTATACAGTAAAAAGGAAAAGTCTCCTCCATTCATTTTGGATTCTTTTCTTTGTCCTGAGGCTCCTTTCTACTTTGTACCCCTCAAATTTTCCAGATGTAAAATAATTTGATAGTTTGGTGTGGCTCATTCCAGATTTTTTCTCCTATACTTTCATAAACATACAAATTAGATAAATGTTATTAAACTGGATAATACTGCTCATGCTATTTTTTTAACTTGAAACACTTAATATTATGTCTTTCAGTCCTGCCTTAATTTTGCTGTTTGCCCTTGGATCTCTGGGTTTGATTTTTGCATTGAATTTAAACAGACATAAGTATCCTCTTAACCTGTACCTGCTTTTTGGATTTGTGAGTACTTTGACTTTCTCTATTTCTTTAACAATTATTCCTGAGTTTTGAATATTCTTATTTAATTAAATACATATATAATACATGTATAACAATGGCAGAAAAATATTAATGAGTTTTTTTAGAGTACTTTAGGAAATTACTTGTAATTTGATAGTCTTTTAAAACTTTTAACAGTTTATTAGTTTCAACGGTTATTCTATTAATATTAACATGTAGTGGAAAAAATACTGAATTGGAATCAGAGGACCTGGCTTTGCTGCTATCTGATTATGTGACACTTGGCAAGGCATTTAGCCTTTCTGTGCCTACGTTTTTTCATATGTAAAATGAGAATATTAAAATAGATAAATCCTTGTGAAACCTCTACCTCTAATATTCTGTGATTTTTTTTGCGGGGGGGGAAATTTGTGGCTTTAATTTCATAGAATTTAAATTTGTTATGATTAAAACTCTTCTGTGTTATTATCTTACCCCTCTGGCCTTTTGAAGAACCATTTTGCTCAAATTATGTGCACTACTAACTTTTTCAAAATTATACTTGGGAGAACCCAACTTTAAGAGTCATATATATTGAGATATTTGTGAAAATTAAAACCCAAACTACCACTTATGAAAATTCAGTCTTAGAATATGACTAGAATAACTGGATAAGGCTCCAGTTACATATTTAAAAAATTATTTTGCCTCTTCTCATATCCAGTATGACTATATTTTAACCTAAAAACTTACTTCAAAACATTCCAAACTAATATTAAGAATACTTGGCTGGGCATAGTGGCTCATGCCTGTAATCCCAGCACTCTGGGAGGCTAAGGCATGTGAATCACTGGAGTCCAGGAGTTTGAGACCAGCCTGGGCAACATAGTGAGATCCCATCTCTACAAAAAAATACAAAAATTAGCCTTGCTTGATAGTGTGCACCTGTAGTCCCAGCACCCGGGAGGCTGAGGTGGGAGGATCACTTAAATGGAGGTGGGGTTTCCGGGGGGTGGAGGCTCCAGTGAGCTGAGATCACATGACTGCATTCTAGCCTGGATGACAGAGTGAGACCCCATTTCAGACAAAAAAGAATACTTGTCAAATACGAGTGAAAAAGTTATTAATTATATTAAAATGCTTTAAAAAAGTTTGTGAATTCTGATAATGAGTTTGTGTTAAAATGATAAAGAAAAGCTGATGACTTTGCAGGTTTCAATTATAGGAAAGATTATTCATTTAAACTTGAAGCTTTTTTGTTTGCAAGATTGTCAGTCCTAACTCAAGTTATTGCAAATAACAAAGAGTTTAAGGATGTAAGCGTGTGAGAACCCACCAACCCAAATCTTCTTCAAGGAAGATGAACTGGATAACTGGAGGAAGGTTCTAGAAATGATGATATCATAGGAAATTCAGTTACAAGAGTTTGTGTTCTCCTCTCCCTTGTTCTATTACATCTCTTCTCTACCTCAGTTGTCCTTACACATTGTTTTCCGTTTCCCAAACAATGGGTCATATATAAATTAAAGATAATTAATTTTTGCCCCTATAGAGTAATTTAGCTTAAGCTCCCACTGCCATTGCTTCAATCTCTGAGTTCAGATTCCTGGGTCAGAAAGAATCTGGGCTGGGCGTGGTGGCTCATGCCTGTGATCCCCGCACTTTGAGAGGCTGGGGCAGGTGTACTGCTTGAGTCGAGGAGTTCCAGAGGAGTCCAGGCAACATAGCGATATATTGTCTCTGTAAAAAATACAAAAATTAGCTAGATGTTATGGCTGAGGCAGGAGGATCATTTGAACCGGGAGGTGGAGGTTGAAGTGAGCTGAGATTGCACCACTGCCCTCCAGCCTTAGTGATGGAGTGAGACCCTGTCTCAAAAAGAAAGGTAGGGTGGTGGAGGAAGGGAGGGAGGAAGGAAGGAAAAGTAAGGAAGGAGAGAGAGAGAATGAATCTGATTGGTATACTTGGTTGTTGGCACAGGTCACATTGTAGGTTGTTAATCAATATATGGGTTGCCAGACATTGCATCAGAGCCAACTCCTGGCCCAGTCAGCTATGTCTCAGGAGACAGGAAGTATAAAAAGAAAGAAGGCCATATAGAATTCCTCTTAACATCTCCATATAGCCTTCTCTCAGAAAGACTGATTTCTATGTGGGAAGAGGGTGTGGGTCAACTTTTGCCTAGCAGGGAGAGGTCCCACTAGAAAAGCATCAACCAAATGCTTATAGGCAAGATAGTCACTGAATGTTAAATGTATTCATCATGCCCATAGCTAAAAATGGTTTAACAAATAAGTATGTAAAATACATTTCCTCAAATTACTCAGGGATCTTTAACATTAGGGTTTTTTGGTCCTGCTAGAGCAGAATAAGAAAGAAGGTAGTAGGAGTGTGTGTATGCATAGACACACACACACACACAGGCAGATTAGATAGATAGATAGATAGATAGATAGATAGATAGATAGATAGATAGATAGATATTCCTTGACTTAAAATCATTCAACTTAAGATTTTTCGGTTTTATGATGGTGTCAAAGCAATATGCAACCATGAAACTTCAGACTTTAAGCATTGGTGATTCTTTAACCAAAGACACTCTGGGCTGTATTTTCGACTTGTGATATTTTCAACTTATAGTGGGTGTATTAGCATGTAACCCCATTATAACTTGAGAAGCATGTGTATATATGTTTTAAAGGGGGCATTATCATATTTTCCTAGTCTTATCTTTACTCTTGTTTATGCCTATTTATACCATCCTGTTTCCTTCAGATACTTGAATGTGGGTGGGATTTCTTTCCTAAAATCTTGTCACAAATAGCAAGAATATAGTGTAATCATGTTGCATGCTACCCCGCCAAACTTTCTCCTCTTTTTTCGTTTTTTTTTTGGAGACAGGGTCTCTGTCGCCCAGGCTGGAGTGCAGTGGCATGATCTTGGCTCTCACTACAACCTCTGCCTCCTGGCCTTAAGTGATCCTCCCACCTTCCAGCCTCCTGAGTAGCTGGGAATACAGGTACATGTCACCAGGCCTAGCTAATTATTTGTATTTTTAGTAGAGATGGGGTTTTGCTGTATTACCTAGGCTGGTCTCAAACTCCTGGACTCAAACAATCCACCTGCCTTAGCCTCTCAGAGTACTGGGATTACAGGTGTGAGTGAGCCACTGTGCCAGTCCAGAAAAAAATTTCTATCTTTTGCTACCCTTTTACTGGCACTACTATAATCATTAAAATATGACAGCAGGCCGGGCGCTGTGGCTCAAGCCTGTAATCCCAGCACTTTGGGAGGCCGAGGCGGATGGATCGAGACCATCCTGGTCAACATGGTGAAACCCTGCCTCTACTAAAAAAAATACAAAAAATTAGCTGGGCATGGTGGCGCATGCCTGTAATCCCAGCTACTCAGGAGGCTGAGGCAGGAGAATTGCCTGAACCCAGGAGGAGGACGTTGCGGTGAGCCGAGATCGCGCCATTGCACTCCAGCCTGGGTAACAAGAGCGAAACTCCGTCTCGAAAAAAATATATATATATGACAGCAGTCCCATTGCCTCCATGTCTGTGTACAATTTCTAATACCATTTTTGCTCTGGTACAGATGGTTTTCCTGATATCAGGTATGGTGGAGTACAGGGGATGCTTCTACCAGGATTATGATTATACAGCCACTGCCGTTATTTCTGACTTTGTCTTTGTGATATGGTCTATCAGATGGTTGATAAAATCTATCCAGAGTAAGCATATAAGACAAAATAAAAACACTGTAATTAAGGGGAAAGAGAGGCTAGAGGACAAGACTCATTAACACCAAGTCTTTTATTTAGGTTATGGGTTCTGCTACTTCTGACATGGCTTAAACAGTGACAAAATAACAGTGGCTTAAACAAGATAGTTTATTTCTCATGTAAAAATTTGAATGACAACTTAGTGAAGGTAACAAGGGCCCACGTTTCTGCTATGGTCAAGGCATTCCTAGAGAGTTGCATGGTATATGATAGATAACTCCCATATCCACAAAGCATTCAGTTATTAATACAAACAAATGAGAAGAGAAAAGGGAGAGCAAGTCTTTGCTTTTAGAGCACAATCCAGAAGTTGTATACCTGTCTTAGTCACATTAAATTGCCTAGAATATCATTACATAGCCAGACCTAGCTGCCAAGGAGACTGAAAAAAATGCAATAAAATCTGAACGGCCATGTGTCCAGGTAAAAATTCTGTTATTAGGGAAGAAAGAGAGAATGAATATTGGGAAATACTTTCAAGACTCCCACACCAAAGTACTACCTAAATATTTTATTCTTCCTATGTTTCTGTGAGGTATTGAGGTTTTATAAATGTGCACATAATTTGCAATTTTGTTTTTATTTATATTACAGAGTAAGAAAAGTAGAATGTTCTATATTTGTAGTCTTCCTGTTACAGATATGAGATTAGAGCTTAAAGAGTCTTGTTATCACAATTAGAATCTAAATATTTTCACTTAATAAATTGAGATCTCATTTTCATTATGGTAGGTTTACTAACTGCCCCATATACTTCACAGAGCTGCTTTGATGCTACAATGAGATCATTCATATGGGATCACATTAAGCTGCTAGAAATTAGAAAATGTACATGAGATAGTGTAAATTTTACAGTCATTAATTTCAGTTTCTTTTCATTAGACGCTATTGGAAGCTCTAACTGTGGCAGTTGTTGGTAAGCCGTAATTGCACTTCTATATGTTATAATAACTTATTAATGTAGATAAATCTTTCAGGTAAAAAGGTATTTGGGGCTGAAGTCTAACATCATGGAATATCATATTTCAGAAATAAAGCATAGGATGAAGAATTCCTAAAGTATAAGCAAAAGTTAGATATTTATCCTTTACTTATTTCAACTGAGCTTAGAAGAAGTGGAAAAGAAAAATAAAAGGAATGGAGAACATTATTTCATTTGTTGACTTATTCATAAAAATAACACAACTATAGCTAATCTCTTCCCTAATTTAAAAGTATCTTAAAGTAACTGAGAACATGTATTTTGAACCATATACTCTGATCATATGAGCTTAACTCCTTTAACTTGCCTGTGCTTTCATGTTATATCCTCATATTGTTTCAAACAGCACTGCAAGAAACAGTGGTTGTTTTTGCTCTGTATTTCATGTTAAACGTGTTTGAAGGCTATGTCTGTTATAATTACTTGATGTACCCTATATAATATCTCAAGTAGAAAAATTCAATAAATTAAGAATAAAAATTCTGATTGTCTCCAAATAGTTAACCTTGAGTACCAAAAAGTTCAGCGCTAATTATTACTCTCAATAACAGCAAGTTTTTTATCCTGTAGTTAATAAGTTAGTATATTTAACTCTTCCTATTTTGTCATTAGGTTTTTGAATTTGTCTATGCCAGTTTTGTTTAATCTGTATTTTTTTGTAATCTCTCATTTTAAAATAATCAATATAAATACATAGTAATAAATAATAAATAGGATTGTGGCTTCTCAACATAGGCAGTATTATTAATATTTACTTATTATTAATGTTACTTATTAATATGTAATTACTTATTAATGTTACTTATTGAGATTATCAAATCCATCTCTCCCTTCTCCAGCCTCTACTATGTACATAGAATATAGGAGAGAGATTCATTTCAGGATTATTGGAATTTGGGATAGAAAAACATGGATGGGATAATCTGAGAACATTATTTTCCTTAAAAATTGCAATTTCTTTTCAACCTAATCGTATACTTAAATTACTGACAAGAAGCAAAATTGACTTAATGTCTTATCTTTTCCCTGTTCACCTCCTAATCCTGTAATGGCATAAATAGAGAAATTCCAGTCATGTAGCATTTAGGGATAGCAAGAAAATGAATAATTAATCTCTGAAAAATTAAAAATTACTTAAGCAGTTAACCTCCAAGAGGTTATAACTTTGCAATTTGTTAAAATGTTAAGAAGTTTTATTACAATAGCCATAATTGACTGGATGGTTATTCTAAAATCATAGAAAGGAATTTGGCATATATTCAGTAAACCCCACAATAGTGTACTCCAGGATAATACACATTAGATATAAAGCAGTTAGTGGTTGATTTCTGTCTTTTAAAGGGTAAGTGAATAGTAGGCAACCCTAGACAGCCCCAATATTTTTCTTGCCCAATTGCCTTGATTTGGGCAAGAAAAAAAAGTGTAACCAGGTGATTGCTGGAATTGCTGCTACTGTCCAGAAATTCCCAGTCTGGCAGGAAACCCAGAATCATCCCTACTGACATTGAAACCACAGTGGACAATTACCACAGATGGTGGTAAACTGCGACTGGGACAGAGATAGGCGAGAATCACTCTACCATATCCCTAAAACTCCTGTCTACAGGCGTAAGAGCTTTCTAGTCATTTCATTAATTTGGTAATAATGTGACCCCCCAATTTCGTATGAATGAATTTTTTGGAGACTGTTAATTGCATTTTGGATGTGGTTTCATTGTACCCATGTATTCAAGGATGGATAAGAAACATTTTCATAATTGTTTTTGTTGGCATAAAGCACAGGAGAAAATGAAGCATTTCTGTAAAATGCCAGAAAAAGCTGTTTTATATTGAGCATGTTTATATGCATGTTAATCAGTGTTTTCATTTTACAGTTACTTTCTATGATGTACATATTATTCTGCAAGCTTACATACTGACTACTGGAGTATTTTTTGGTTTGACTATGTATACTTTGCAAGCTAAGAGGGATTTCAGCAAATTAGGAGCAGGGTAAGTTATATATATTCTTGGATATAATAGATGTCTTTGATTATTATAGGTGGTTTTGAGGAAAGTGCTACACTGTTATCTTTGGGTACTGTCTTTTAAAATGGAGGGTAATAAGAGATCATCTCTTTGAATACTAGGGCCAGGCCTTATTCTCCCAGAACATACACAGAAATGGAACGTGGCTTTGAGTTACTTGCTTCTCTTCTGTAGTGAAAGGGAAGTGATTTTTTTTTAAATCAGCTTTCCAGAGAGTTTAAGCTTGTATGCTTTATGAACATTATGGAATTTACTGAAATTTCAGTCTGTCTTAGCATAAATCTTACCAAGACCATCCACATCTTTGTGGAAAAAGCACTGTAATGAGTACAGATATTGAAAGGGTCTGCATGAATTTAAAACCTTTTTCTTCTTCAAACAAATATACAGACTGATCCTTTTTATATTAGGATTATGGTACTGTGTTGCCCTCACCTGGTAGGAATGCATGGACTCTTTTCTAAGCTCACAGTGGCTTCCTGTTGGCACATAGTCTTCTTTTTCTTTTTCCTGTTACAACGCTATTTACAAAAGTCTGCTCTTGCTAAACACTCTTTCCTCCCTCACCCCTTTTATTCTGGTAATCCAGAACACCAGAAGTCTCTATAGAGATAAAGTACAGTTGGTTAGCCGACGCTGACAATTGTGCAGAATACTTAAAACAGTTTTATTAGAATGGAGTTTGATTTAGGGAGAGGTAATATTTTCTATTTCCTTTTCCTTTTTTGGAAGGATGTTTCATATATATTTGTGTGACATATATGATGAAAAGTTTGTTCTACTTCCTCTTCCGACTCAGTCTCAAACTGTTCCTTCCCTTTCATTCATTCCAGTATCATCTTTCAAATCCTTTTCTGATAAACTTGCTTTATAGTTCAGCCTCTTCACAATAACTTTACATTTATTGATACAAATGGCATTACAATGATCATATAGATCTGAGACCAGATATTTCTAAGTGTGTGTGTGTGTGTGTGTGTGTGTGTGTGTGCCATTTCTGATAATTACAGTATTTTCTTTGTGTGTTCGGTTATTTTTGACTGTGTAACTGTCCTTGAAAAATTATTTTTTGAATTTCTTTGAGGCCTCAGTTGAAGGTGCAGTTTTCCCTACAGTAATTGGGTTTTCTCCTGGCATCTGGGAAAACTATTGAATTGGGTCTACTTGAAACTAAATTCATGGCTTATGATGCTTTCCCAACCACCCAGATGTTACTCATTTAGACTACAAATCCAAAAAGGGATAGCTTGTGGTGGCAATTTCCCAGGGATAGTTATTCTCTACCCCCACCCCTCAATTTACCTATTTAGTGCATTGATGACTTTTCTTGTAGTTGGGTAAATTCAGCTATACCATGATTACTTCTTTGGGTTTCCATTTTTACCTAGATTTTGACTTAGTAATTCCATTCTATCTTGACAGTTATTTGGTATTTTTAAGAAGGTATTCTTTCTTTTCTCTTTTATGCATCATGTTAGTAGTTTTTCAGGGTGGGACAGGGGTGGTAATTAGTCTGAAATAGTTCTTGTTTACTGTAATCTGGAAACAGAACTCTTTCAAAATTGTCTCTTAGCTGTATTACTACAACCAGTCTCTCTATTCTCCAGTCTTAGCAGTTTCCAGCGTCTTTACCACCAAGCAGCTGGGTGATAGGAAAATGGAAACTTGATCACAGTATACTCACTTAAAACCTTAACACTTCACTTCTGCTTTTGTTCTCCACTGAATCACATGTACTGCTATCTGTTACTGGATATTGCCATATAATGACTCTCCAGCAAAATCCTAATAATAATTAACGCTTTAGTCAGTATGCCATAGATTCAGCTACTTAAGAGTAACACTTTATTGCATTTTAAATAAAACTACTTTACTGTGAACCGTCAAAGCCTAAGTGGTTGTGGAAGTTAAGTGCCAAAATGGGATATAAAGACTGAGGGAAAAGATTTTATTTGAAAATATTTTCTTCAAAATTTATAGGCTGTTCCTTCTGACTTGTTTATGGGATATAGTAGGGACTAAAGAAATATGTGTTAAATGTATGGTAGTATCGGCAGTGGTGGCAGTGCTTCATAGATTGACTTAAAGCTGTGATGTTTTTACAACATCATTATTATCCTGTAGTAATTTTGCCACAAAAGGAATGAAATCTCAGAACTACATATGATAACTATGGCAACTGGTCATTGGTATGCTCGAATTGGCTTGTGCCAGCTTGTAAGAGGCATCTTGCCAGTTATGATTTAAACTTGCCAGTTGTTAAACTGTTGGAAGCTTAAAATAGGCCATGGAGGATGTATGTACACCACTGAAATTAGGAAGCACTACAAATCAGGGCTCATTTTCTTTCCCAGAAAGTCAGTTTACTGGGACATCACTGTTTGTAGGTTACTTCTTATTCTGTGCTTCTTGTTGAGAAGGAAGAGGATAGGATTTATTTGTCACTCCTATAGATGGAGTTGTTAGAATGGCAAAATCAGCACTATATCCATGGCTTATCTTAACTATATTCTTAGAAAGTTTGCTGTCTTTGATGTTTAAATATTTAATGAGATGTAAGTCAAAGTAGGGTGGAGTAACTACTTAGGCAGATTATTTGTAGGACATAACTTTCAAATCTTTACCTGTTACAGTATGTATAGAGAATGCTATTATAAACTGACAAGTCTTAGGCTGAATTTCTTACCAAGAGCTTACCAAATGGAGCCTGTGACTCTAAATAACCCTTTTAGTGTGTGTACATTTAGGTCCCTGGGGGGAACATGTTGCTTAACCAGGGAGCCTAAGTTTTAGTGTCAGGTTTCAACTTGGATGTCGTAGAGGAGAAAAGATATCTGTTTTAATATGTATTGTCAATAGTGTCTGATCAGGCTTAAATGTAGGATCTTATCCAGTTAGTGAATAACGGAGTAAATTAATGTCCAGAGACCTCTGGCAGCCCTATCCTAATGTCTTATTAGAAGCCTACAAGAATGGAGAGGATTTTTCATGGGTCTCATGTATTTCTGAATGTCCTGTGAATGATGTGCTGACTGCCCTTCCAGACAATCTTTTTAAGTTTGTTTTTTTTTTTTTTCAATAGTGAACAGCCTGGGAAGATAGAAATAGTGCTCGCTGGAGCAGAGGGCAACCATGTTTACTTTACATTGTAATAGAGACTTGCTTTCCTAAATTCAAAGTTTCTATCTTGTAACACAACCCACCATGTGTGTAGGTGTCATGTTGCCTTCTTGGCATCACCCTATAAAAACTGGGCTCTGTCATTAAAATGCTGATACTACTGTTACTACTATGAACTGTCCTTTATCCTCAGACCTAGGAGCTTGATGTATTCATGAGACTGTGCCAGACTAACTTGTTAGCCTGCAAGTAGGGTAATATCTTGGATGCTTTAAGTTCTTAATACCACCTTTCCCTTACCCCGTGGTACAGGAGCTTTGGAGATCTTAGCTATAGACTCTGGGAGAACCCTTTGCATACACCAGAGTGCTCACTCTTGGTAGATAGTTCTCTTTTTTCTGGTACTCTGCCCTACAAATTCTAGCCACCTTGGCTTTCCTGACCTCAGAATTCTTGTCTGCTCAACTCAGAGGAGACCATAAATGTTTGTATGGGTTCTTATCCCTACATGGTGGCCTGGAAACTGTAGCTAGGGCAAATATAGACTTCACTTTCTTTGTATCCTTTATCTCAGGAACTCCTGTCCTGTGCTATTTGCTGTCTAGTGTCTAAAAACTGTTGTTTCATATATTTTGTCTGGTTTTATTTAAAGAGGGAGGATAAATTTGGTCTCTGTAATTCCTTGTGACCTGAAGCAGCTGATATGCCCTATATTTGATAACAAAAGACTGACTTCTTAGATGTCATTTCTCATATAATTTATACTCTCTCTATATAATAACTGAATTGTAACTCATAGAATTATAGCAGTGTCAGATATGTCCATTGATTGAATTCTATAATAAGAATAAAATGGAAATTACATCGTGAACTTTAATAGATATGCATGTTCACAGAATAACTTGTTATTACTTGGCTTAAAAGTATAGTCATATTTCATTTGTTTATGTATTTTCTAAAAGTTTTTGTAAATCTCCAAATTAAAATATTTGTAATATTTCTGCTATCTGTATTTTGTGCTCCAATTAAAAACTTCACAAATTATACCGTTAATTAGGTTTGTAAACCATAAAGACAAATGTTGAAGAAATAGCTGTTTTTTAAATTTCTTTTTTAAAAATCCAAAATGGGCATTATATTCATTGTATGTTTACAAATTCTTACATTTTAGTTATTCTTTGGCAAAACGTCTGGATGGATATGTTTTTTTCAGAAAGTGTTAAATGGGTTTACAAAGTTTTTTTTGTAAGGAACAATATTCTAAATTACTAAACTTTTATTTTTATAGGCTGTTTGCTTTTTTGTGGATTTTGTGCCTGTCAGGATTCTTCAAGGTAAGTTATGTTATTAATGGTTAACTTGAAATATAATTCTGGCTGTGCCAATATAAAAAACCTCAAAAAGCTATAAAAGATACTCTTATGATAGGACATTTAGTTATAATTGTCCAGAACATTTGTTTATAGAATTATCCCTTTAAAAATCAAGGTCTCGGCTGGGCGTGTTGGCTCAAGCCTGTAATCCCAGCACTTTGGGAGGCGGAGGTGGGTGGATCACGAGGTCAAGAGATCGAGACCATCCTGGTCAACATGATGAAACCCCATCTCTACTAAAAAAGAAAAAAAGAAAATTAGCTGGGCATGGTGGCGTGTGCCTGTAATCCCAGCTACTTAGGAGGCTGAGGCAGGAGAACTGCCTGAACCCAGGAGGTGGAGGTTGCAGTGAGCCGAGATCGTGCCATTGCACTCCAGCCTGGGTAACAAGAGTAAAACTCCGTCTCAAAAAAAATAAATAAATAAAAATCAAGGCCTCGCGTTGGTCATTATTATTGGTTGAAAGAAAGATGAATGAATAAATGAATTAAATTATATAGAAAGAGGCCCTCTTATAACTGCCAAGCTCCAATGGCACATTTTAATTGTGAAAAAATAAATATATTTTTAAATAATTTATATTTGGAATGCTATTTTTCAAAGTGGGTAATTTCGTTTAAAGGAATATATCCATTCATTCATCCTTCCATCCAACAGAAGCAAGTTTGTACCTGCCTTGCCTTTTTCTGCTTTTAATATTTGTATTCAAAGTTGTGCACCATTGTCAAATGTGTAATGTAGCAGTAAATCATTAGAGGAAGTAACTTAAGTCTTCTTAGTACTGTTCTCAAATATCATCAGATTTCTCTAATGTTTTCCCTATAGTTATTTTTTTATAGTGAGACAATGGAGTTGGTCTTAGCTGCTGCAGGAGCCCTTCTTTTCTGTGGATTCATCATCTATGACACACACTCCCTGATGCATAAACTGTCACCTGAAGAATACATATTAGCTGCTATCAGCCTCTACTTGGACATCATCAATCTATTCCTGCACCTGTTACGGTTTCTGGAAGCAGTTAATACAAAGTAATTAAAAGCATCTCGGCTCAACTGAAGAATAAAACAAATTTTTTTCAGTGAGGAAAAAAAGGATTAAAAAAGTAATTGGAGCAGTATATAGAAACTTTCATTAAGTAATAAAGTTTCAGACAATGGTTAAATACTGTTACAGTCTTTATTTGTATCCTGTGTTACTCTGAGAGCTTTAAAATGTTACTATTCTTTATGATATTTCATCTCTAAATCCTTGATTTAGGGTATCAGTTAAGAGCTATCAAAATTCTATTAAAAATGTATTTCTTCCTAAATTAGCCCACACATAGCTGTTTATTTACAAGTCAAAGATAATTTTATGAGTAGATAAGAATATCAGTTTACCTTTGTCTAGTGATTTCATCTAAATTTTCCCTGAATTATTAAGTAATACTGATCTGGCTTTGATTCTGAAGTAGTAGTGTCTTTACCATTATAAACTGTAAATCTGGAGAGGTGGCTCACGACTGTAATCCCAGCACTTCGGGAGGCCGATGCGGGTGGATCACCTGAGGTCGGGAGTTTGAGACCAGCCTGATCAACATGGTGAAACTCTGTCTCTACTAAAAATACAAAATTATCCGGGGGTGGTGGTGCATGACTGTAATCCCAGCCACTCAGGAGGCTGAGGCAGGAGAATCACTTGAACCCAGGAGGCGGCGGTTGTGGTGAGCTGAAATCATATCATTGCACTCCGCACTCCAGCCTGGGCAACAAGAACAAAACTCCATCTCAAAAAAAAAGAAAAAAAAACTATAAATCTCTTTTTGCTTGGAGATTTTCATCTAATTTAAAAAGAAAAATATATAAAAGATAAATTCCACAGAGAATTATTCAGTATTGTATTAAAATCATATTAGAATGTTAATGACATTTTAAGTTGTACTAAAATTAAAAGTCTGCCTGAAAGTCAGATATTATGACAAAATTTGACATTAATTATTTGTATTTTAAAGTATAGATTTCATTTTGAAATTACAGAATGCTAATGTGGTTAGAGGACACCAAAGATACTGGGTCATCAGCCATTAAGTCTATCTATTTCAAAATAAAAATATTTGTGAAATATTGTCTTATGGTTTCATTTGTGTTGGTCCTAACATGCACACAGCATGTTAGGTCAGTGTACCAGTAACCAATGAAATTTTCTCATATTCCCACATTGTACTAGTTTGTTAGACTGCCATAACAAAGCACCACAGCTTGAGTGGCTTCAACAAGAAATTTATTTTCCCACAGTTCTGGAAGCTAAAAGTCCAATATCAAGGTGTTAGCAGGGTTGGTTTCTTTTGAGGCCTTTCTCTTTGATTTGTAGATGGCCGTCTTCTCCCTGTCTTTAAATGGTCTTCCCTCTATACTTGTCTGTGCCCAAATTTCTTCTTATGAGGACAACAGTCATATTGGATTAGGGCCCACCCCGAAGACCTCATTCTTCCTTAATTATCTCTTTAAAGACCTATCTCCAAATACAGTCACATTCAGAGGTGCTGGGATTAGGATTTCTTTTATGTGAATTTGGGGGGGCTATAACTCAGCCCATAATACCCCTTAAGCATTTCCCAGCTATTAAGTTGAAATAAATTAGTAGTATTGATTTAACCTTGCATGATTTTTAGATGTAAATTTGACCCTATTATCATTAATTAACTGTTGAATTCTCAAGTGCATGATGCAGTGCAATCAAGTTTAACATAGCATGGTGGGTAAGAGCATCTAGATTAGAATCCTTGCAATCCAACCAGCTGCTTGTGTAGCATTTATCGAGTTATTTATCCTTCCTTAAGTCTTTTGCCTCATCATCATAATGGGAATAATAATAATAATGCCTAGCTTATTGGGCTGTCATAAGGATTAAATGAGAGAGATATAGAAAATAAACTAAGTGCTTAATTAATGTCAACTGATGGTATTCATACTATTTTCAACTCAAAGGCTAAATGGACTGATTTGTGACTAAAGATTCCGTATAAGCAAAAGTAGATCTGACATTTTAAAAATGTAAAACAATGCCATTTTGACCAATTATTTTTAGAAAAGTTATTTTCCACAAAAATGTTAATGTAATAAATTTATTCTTTCTAAATGACTTAAATTTCCAAGAAAATCATTTTAATTTCTGATATGATCAATATAATTATTAAGAGCATAAAGGGATCCCAAGACCAAGATGTTTGAAAACCTTTGGTATAAAATACTATATTTTATAAATGAACCATTGATTTATTCCCATGATCTGTCATTGAATTTTATGTGGTTCTTCCTTTTTTACTCTCATAATTAATGCTGCTATGTAAGTCCCTGGATGTGTCCCACTGTGCATAGGTATGAGTTCTAGGTAGGGAATATACCTAGACCATTTTAAAGCATTGCATTCAGTAAAGGTGAAAATAGGCAGACTCCAGAAATATTAATAGTAAGAAAGTGGAATTAGCAGAACTTGGACGGAGCAACAGGCAAGTCAGTGTGCAAGGGCCAAAGGAAGAACAGCTAAGTTGTAGGAGGAAAATGAGGAAAGAGTAGTAGCTGAGAACATCTGTATATCTTGAATGTAATTTGGGGAAAGAGATGCAGTAGGCCGTGTATACGCACCTTCATTTCTTCTCAGACCTGGCTTTAGTCCACCTGATGCATTTTTAGGGATTAGTGGTCAACAGCCAGCGGCAGGCCTTTTTTTTTTTTGGAGCAGCTAGGAACTTAGATACTTTTTGCTTTTACCTTTCTCTTTCTAGAGCGTTGTCTTGAAGTTCCCATCATCTAGGGAATGGGCAACATGGGGTCACTATTTGAATCCCAGAAGTCTTCCTGTTCCTTACTAAGTGATTGTGCAGATCAGGGATTCCATGGGAGAGGACTGACTGCAGGGGCCCCACTGACTCTTCTCCATCATGTAGCATACCTTTTCAATGAGAAAATCAGTCTGTTTCCTGTAAGGTATTCAGGGCCACCCACTGTGCCTCTAGTTATATATGTAGGTTCCTTTCAGCTCTGTGAGGAGCCTCTGCAATGTCTAGTTGGCCCCTTAAGCATTGTTTGTCCATTAGGGGATATAGTTTCCTGAAAAAGAGTAATTTAGTTTCCTTCATGTTTGCAAATTGAGCATAGTGCCTATAATAGAGTGCATACTCAAAGGCATGAATTAGACTTTTAAATATACTAAGGCCACTTTTCTAGAACTGCTTTTATATAACTGGTGAGGGACATGAGTAAAAAGGGGTAAAAGGGTATTTTTTTCAATAATGTAGTACCTGATTCAGCTTTTTTGGTGGAGGGGGATGGAGTCTTGCTCTGTCACCCAGGCTTGAGTGTAGTGGTGTGATCTCGGCTCACTGCAATCTCTGCCTCCTGGGTTCAAGTGATTCTCTTAACTCAGCCTCCTGAGTAGCTGGGATTACAGGTGCATGACACCACACCCAGCTAATTTTTGCATTTTTAGTAGAGGGGGTTTCACCATGTTGGCCAGGCTGGTCTCGAACTCCTGACCTTGTGATCCGCCCTCCTTGGACTCCCAAAGTGCTGGGATTACAGGTGTGAGCCACTGTGCCTAGCCCATGATTCAGCTTTTTAAAGCATTTGTAATGCTAAATCGTGGTATGTATTTTAATAATATGACATTTTCATAATAGGTGAATTATTTTTTTCTGGTGCCAAGTGTCTATTCAAATGTCTTGGCCTGGTATGTTAAACAAGATACAGTAAATATAGACTATCAGAAAGTGAGCTTTCTCTAAAATACATTGTGCACATACATTTTTGGGTGAGATAGCTAACTTCTTATTTGAAAGACAAGGTACAGTATATGGTTTACTTGTAAAATAGAAATTCACTTGCTTCATAAGAATGAAATCTCATTTAAAGAAAGCTGATTTCTTAGGCATGCTTCCTTTTTTTGTATAAAATATTCTAAGTCGTTTTCAGCCTCTTTAACCTTGCTATATTCTGAATTCAGTAATTTCCATACTGTGCCTGGCTTCATAAAGGACACAAATGTAAAGAAAAAAGGTACCCATGGATTGTCTCAGAACTCTCTTTTCTAGCAACCAGCAGGAATTTACCAGGCCACAATTAAAGACAATTCCTTTCCTGTTTTTTGGGTATATGTTGTAAATCTCTAGAAACACTGCTTACAAATAGTACCGTGTAGCTATACGTTTCAAACTATAATGTAAAAAGGGTACCATTTGTTGAACTCATTACCTACCTAGCATCAATTAGGTTGTATTATCTTCACTCCAGGGACAAGGAAATTCAGGCTCTTATATTACTCATCCATATCGTCCGCAAGTGTTGGAAGAATACAACACAGACCTATATAGTTCCAAAGCCTCTGCCATTAGAAATATTTGTAAAGTAAGTGTTCTTCGTGAGCTAAGACAATCGTCCTAGGCTTAGTATTGTGTCTGATATGTAAGTGATCAGACAGGTAAACATTGACAGAACTGAAATCCTTTGATCATTTTACCCTTTAAATTCTTCTCTGGGGTAGGAAAAGCTTGCTTTTTGTTTTTGGTAACAGCTTTGAGTATAACTGACATGCAATACGTTGCACCTATTTAAAGTGTGCAATTTGACATATATGTACATCCGTAAAGCCATCACCCGAGATGAGAAAATTCACAAATAAAGATGATCTCAATACGGCCTCTGGAAGAACACCTGACCTAGGGAGAGTTGGATGAGTATGATGTAAGCGGTAAGGCTAGATCTAAAGGTCGGCTCCGGGCTCCCTATCTGACAAGTAGGGTCCCCAGGTTTACTATGTTAGTCTCGGAGCTACCCTACCCACGTCCGGAAAGCAACTACCTGTGACCTAACCTTGACCGGGACACGCTTCTGCACTCTCCAAATCCGACTTCTACACCTATGTAGGACGGACCAAGTTTCTAAGTGTGCGTTCACACCAAAGTCGGAAGCTCGTCAGCGTCCGGCTTTCAAAATCCCGCCTCTCGAATCTTCTTGAGACAGTTTGGCTCCCAGCGTGCAGTGCGTACGCCCCGGGTCGGTTCTACCCGGAAAACGGAAGTGTAAAAACTTCCGGTCGTCGAGATCCTGTGGCGTGTGTATTCTTTTCTCAGGTGAGTTCTGTTCCTCACCGGTCCAGTGGGACGTGGGACTCTGGGGCTTGATTCCGCCACCCCTGGAGAATTTAGTTTCTTGAACCTCGCTGGGCTATACTTGAGCTCCTGTCCGGCAATGCAGAGCTAGGGTTCCCAGTGCTTTTGGGGGCCCTCCGGCTTCCGAGTGCACTAGATAAAATGGAGCCTTCCCCTGTTGTTCACTCCCGCTGAGGTTAACTTCGGCCCTCAGGGTTGTTTGTCGCCCGCTTTCCTAGCCCCTCCAAAGTGTTAAGTTATGTAGACAAGAGAGCAGAATGAGTTTGTGATTGCCGGCGTTCAAAAAATGTTAGGCATTTGTTCGACAAGTATGCAAAATTCTGTGCACTGGGGGATCCAGCGGTGAACAAGGCCATTTTTCCCTCTACCTTCGTGGAGTCTACAGTCCGGGGAGAGGGTTGGGGGTGTGACAAAACAGTAGTTTCAAGTTATAACACTTATTAAGCACGGAAGGGAGCTTACGGAGGTCAGAGGAGTCCTTTCTGAGGCATCGAATGAAGGAGCAAGGCTTGAGAAGAGCAGTTACCAGGCATAGGGACAGCAAGCATGAAGGTACTGACGTGGAGATAGTTTGGACATTTTTCAGATGCTGTTGGAGCCTGCGGGGATGGAGATGGAGAAGGAAAATGAGATGAAGTAGAGTTGAAGGAGGCAGGGGACAGCTCACAATGACCTTGTAGGTCTCGAATATATGAGGGAGGAGGTCTTTAAATAATTCAAAGAAAAGCAGTTAATGCTGTTAAGTTTTTAAAAGATCACACTGAGCACCTTGTGGAGGATTTAGGGCTGAAACTGAGTGAAAAGAAAACAAGAGTAGGAATAGGTAAGTTTAAAGTCGTTAGGTTGGCTTGAGAGGATAGATAATGAAGATGGGGGTGAATTGTTTATAAAAATCGCTTTGTAATTTGTAAGCTGTTGCATAAATGTAAGGTGATGACACTCTTGCATACTGGGGAAATTGAATTTCTGTATTTTGTAAAGAAATTCAAGGTGCTTTCAGAATTGGTTTGATTTGTAGTTTGCTTATGACTACAAGGAGTTTGATTTGATATCTTAATTGATATTTAATGACCGTGTGTACCGTATTGATCTTCACGTAAGTTGTATGTTAAGTCATAAAAAGTGAACATATTGAATAGTTTTACTTTTCATTTGTTTTGTAGAGATACCGGTTGGTCTGGTTTTCCAAGGATTTGCCTTCTTGCCTTTTTATAGTAAAGATTTGCTTTTGGTTATGTATTTTTGTTAATTTCAGGTAAAACATGGCTAAAAGCTTACGGAGCAAGTGGAAAAGAAAGATGCGCGCTGAAAAGAGAAAAAAGAATGCCCCAAAAGAGCTCAGCAGGCTTAAAAGTATTCTCAAACTAGACGGTGATGTTTTAATGAAGGATGTTCGAGAGATAGCAACTGTGGTGGTACCCAAACATTGCCAAGAGAAAATGCAATGTGAGGTAAAAGATGAAAAAGGTGAGTGTATTTCTTTTCTCTCTCTCTCTCTCTTCCCTCTCCTCCCCTTCCCCTCCCCCATTACCTAGTGGTGGGATTATAGCTCACTGTAGCCTTGAATTCCTGAGCTGAAGCAGATTCTTCCACCTCAGCCTTCCAAAGCACTGGGATTACAGGCGTGAACCCTCTGCGCTTCATTAAGAAAAAAAAAAAGAATTCTATCAAGCCTGTTCATGTATATAGGTATGTTTTGGATTGTTTGGAGTGGGTCTTTGGTGCTTATACAATAGCCTCCATGTCTCAGGAATAAACAGTTCTACAGGATTAGACAAATCTAGACACACTCTGGTTGGAAGGGTGCACAGTTCACCCAGAGCCTAGGCAGCATACAATGTCTTCATTTTACTCTTTGAAGATCTGATTCCCATTCTGAGTCCTATGCCCTTATACTATTATCCTGAATCACAGGGTTTCACTATTTCATTTTGACAGATTCTAGGAATCTTTGTGTCTTAATCAGAAAGTTGGAGAATATATATAATGCTGCTTTTCCCACATTTATGCATCAATTTAGCAGCAGACTAAGAATTTATAATATCCAGACTTTCAAATAGAAATATATTTATTTGACATCTTATGCTGAAGGAAGAGAGCAATATTTCTCAGTCTCCCAACCTTAGCTTTTTTTTCCCCCTTTGAAAATGGCTGGTTTTAACTTTTTGTTCCTCCCATTTCATTCTTCTCCTACTCCATACAAATAAAAAATTAAAAAAGCATACTTCTGTGAGAAAAGGGCCAACCAACAGAAATAACCTCATCTTTCCACTACCCAAGTCTATAAGAATTTGAATATATACTCTGTTTTCCCTTTTTTATTAATGTTCTCTCCAAGACCAATTTCTCCACTTGTGTTCTGAATCCTCTCCCTGCTTAGATTCTCAGGGGCTGTAGTCATGCATCTGTGTTGTCATTCTCCTCCACGGGGTCATTGCCAACAGCATAGATGTGTTCTGGGACGTTCAATGTCAAAAGAAAGAAAGAAAAATTTCTCCCTTGATCTCAAGTTCTCTCAATCTGCTGCTTTATTTCTGCTGTCCTTGAAACTTCCCTTCACTTGGCTGTTTTCATTTTCTCACATACATGTCACCCCTCCCCATTGGCTCTTTTTAGTTGTTGTTAAGGCAAAATTCACATAACATAAAATTAACCATTTTAAAGTGTACAGTTCAATGGTATTTAGCACATTCATGTGTTGTGCAACCACCACCTCTAGTTCCAAAACACTTTTTATCACCCCAAAAGGAAACTTAATGCCTATTAAAGAGTCTGTCTCCTCCTCCCGTCCCCCAGCCTCTGGCAACCACTAATGTGCCCTTTTTGTGTGTGGATTTACCTGTTTGAATATTTCTTATAAATGGAATCATGTAATGTAACCTGACTTACTTCACTTAGCATGATGCTTTTGAAGGTCACCCACATTGTAGCATACATGTGTCAATACTTCCTTTCTTTTTGATGCTAAATAATAGTCCATTGCCACATTTCATATCAGTTCATCAGTTGCTGGGCATTTGGATTTCTTTCCCCTTATGGCTGTTGTGAATAGTGCTGCTGTGAACATTCAGGTGCACAAGTTTTTGTTTGAACACCTGTTTTTGGTTCTTGTATGTGTATATATACAAGTGGAATTGCTGGATCATATGGTAATTCTTTGTTTAATGTTTTCCACATTAGCCACATCATTGTACATTCCCACCCGCAGTGTTTGAATATTTCAGTTTCTTCATATCCTCACTAATACTCGCTTTCAATTTTTGGATTATAGCCATCTTAGTGGGTATGAAATAGATTCTTATTGTGACTTTTATTTGAAGTTCCCTGATGACTAATGATGTTGAATAAACATTTAAACAATTTTCTTTTGAGATGGCATTTTGCTGTCACCCAGGCTGGAGTGCAGTGGCATGATCTCAGCTCGCTGCTACCTCTGCCTCTCAGGTTCAAACAATTCTCCTGCCTCAGCCTCCCAAGTAGCTGATACTATAGGATATGCCACCATGTCCGGCTGATTGTTGCATTTTTAGTGTGATGGGGTTTCACCATATTAGCCGGTCTGGTCTTGAACTCCTGACCTCAAATCATTCACCTGTCTCGGCCTCCCAAAGTGCTGAGATTACAGGTGTGAGATTACACTGTGCCCAGCCAAGTATTTTTTCATATGCTTTTTGACCATTCGTGTGTCTTTTTTGGAGAAAAGTGTACTCAAGTCTTTTGCCTCATTTTTTAATTACGTTGTTTGTGTTTTTATTATTGGGTTGTTAAAAGTTCTTTATATGTTCTAGATCCATATAAAGAACTCTTTTTTTTTTTTTCTGAGATGGAGTCTTGCTCTAGCCAGGCTGGTGCACAGTAGGTGGCGCAGTCTTGGCTTACTGCAACCTCCGCCTCTGGGGTTCAAGCGATTCTTATGCTTCAGTTTCCTGGGTAGCTGGGACCACAGGTGCATCCCAAATGCCCGGCTAATTTTTGTATTTTTAGTAGAGATGGGAGTTTCACTGTGTTGGCCAGGATGGTCTTGATCTCTTGACCTTGTGATCCACCCACCTTGGCCACCCGAAGTGCTGGGATTACAGGTGTGAGCCACCATGCCTGGCCCATATAAAGAACTCTTAACATGCCCATGCACTCTTGATTCTTTTGGATTGATCCTCTATTTTCTTTTCTCTCCTGTTTTCTGTTTCTTTTGTTATACCCTCTAATTTCCTTGACCTTGTATTTGTTTTTTCCTCTTATGTTTTCAGTTTTTAAAAGTTTTTCTTTTCTTTCTTTTTTTTTTTTTTACTGTTCCTTTTTCATAGCTTTGTATTCTTTCTTTGTGTTTTGTAAATGACCCTTGAGTCATCAGCTCTGTATTCTAAATGGGCATATGTCTTCTCTGATTTTCCTAAGGGTATTAATTACAGTTTGCTTTTCAAATTTGTATCTATGTGTCAAGGTGTTGTCTGTCTGTCCTCTTGGAATTTCCTCCCAAGCCCTTCCATTCCTTTACAGTCTTTCATACCAGAGGCTTTTCTCAAATGTCTAGTGATCAGTAGTTGTTTGTATTTAAAAGTAGGGCACTAAAATGGTGATTGGAAGCTGGAGGGAGACAAGGTGTGGGAGAGGTCTGTCAACTGCTAGGTGTATAGAAGAATTGGATTGGCTCCAGGAGGCTTTATTTGGAGATAGATCTCTTATATCAGAATCTGTTAAGTATTTTTTTTTCTTCTCATCATCCCTAGAGAGAAATTCTCTTATGTCCTGACTGGGGAATGTCTGAATGCCCTTGTTCTTGAATATTTTAGGAGCTAAAGGGAGATGGGACTGAGACTGTGGGAGTCTCCCCATTTAGTGATCTATGTGTTATCGGTTTGGTTTTCATCTCCACCCTCAAGTTTATGTTTCTCCTTATTCTCTTTCAACTGCCCACCTAATTTCTTAAGCCATAAACCTAGTAGTCATCCTTCATTCTTCTTTCCTTTATTCCCTACACCTAAACTATTACCAAGTCTTACTGATTATACCAAAAACACATTAGAAATCTATATCCATTTTTCTCTTGCTTTCACCTTGATTCAGATGGCCATCATCTCTTGCCTGTACTATGATAGGAGCCTTTTTACTTCTCTCTTCTGCTCTTGTTCCCTTCTCATTCATCTTCCACATATCCACCAGTATGATCTTTTCAGAAGGCAAATCAGATTGTATCACTGCCATGCTTTAAAATCTTGTTATCTTAACATGCGTTTACCAGCACCTACCAGTTCTTTCTTAATCTGCTTCCAGTGATTCTTTAAAAAACCACTTACACAGGCTGAAATTTTTTCTTTTAATTTTTAAATTTTTTTTTTTTTAGAGACAGTATCTCACTTTGTTGCCCAGGCTGGAGTATAGTGGCTATTCATAGGCATGACCATGCACATAACAGCCTTGAACTCCTGGCCTCAAGTGATCCTCCCACCCAGTCTCCCGAATTGCTGGGACTACAGATGCCTACCGATACCATACCTGGCTGAGGTTTTCTTTCTGTTTGCTTTGTTATTCTTCCCTCAATAGAACATTGTAAACTCCGTGAGGACTAGGAGCTCATATGGACCACTCTAAGCCCAGAACCTAGAACAGAACCTTAAATTGTCATTCAACAAGTAGTTACGGAGTGGCTGTTATATACCAGACACTATTTCTAGATAGTGTGGAAACAATGATGAATATCTAATATAATGCCAGGTAGTTGAGATAGTAGAAGACCTTGTGTATCCTGGTAAGGAGTTCCATGAGAGACTCTGGGCATGTCTTTCACGGTGGAGAAGGTGATAGGTATATCACAGCATGCTTGCACTGAGCTTCTTGTCAAGCCTTCTATCAGTAGAGCTGGATCTCTGAGTGTTACCTAGCTAGGAAAAGTATGTGAGCCCCAGGATGTGTTCAGGTCTTTCTTCTCTATTGACTGCCTGTCTCTGCCATCACAGCCCTGCTACTAACTACTCCATCAAGTTCATTAGAAGTTTGTTCTCAGGTCATTAGAATTTAGTTGAAGTTCATAAGAAATGGCCAGTCATTCCTAATCAATTCGTTACATCTAAGGTCTATCCCTTAGAAGTATGGGTGCGCTTACTTTCTTAACTCAATGAATCACTTAATGTGAGAAATGTTCTTGTAACTCACATGTGCTTAGAAGCATATATCTACTAATGCACCAACTCAGAGCCATTCATACTAAATGTTTTCTATTTAACTTTACTATTCTAAGGAAGGACAGCCAGAGAGCTTTTTTCTTCTGTATTTTCAGACTGCCTTCAGTTGTAATGTTCTCAGTGCATTAATATGCTTTCACAAGGTGGTTTTTTTCATACATAGTGTTAATAGTTTTTTCATCTTTTAATGCAGATGACATGAAAATGGAGACTGATATTAAGAGAAACAAAAAGACTCTTCTAGACCAGAATGGGCAGTACCCAATATGGATGAACCAAAGGCAAAGAAAAAAGCTGAAGGCAAAGCGAGAGAGAAGAAAGGGGAAAAGTAAAGCAAAAGCAGTGAAAGTGGCGAAGGGTTTGGCCTGGTAGATTCTTAAAACCTTGGAAAATGCCACATGGGACAGATGATGGATTAGAACGTATACACATGTATACTTTGATTTCAGCTCCCACCAAATGAAAACTATTTGTTTTCCTATTTTAACTTGGCCTTTTTTCTTCAATTCAAACCAGCATAACTCCTCAAGTTTGTTTTGGGAACTTGAATAAAATACTTTGTTTCATACATCCAAGCTCTACTGATGTTTTAATTGGATGCTACCCAATACCAGTTATTATCAGGCCTCAAAGTTCTGTCAGGTATTAATGTGGTTAGAATTGTTATTACAACTAGTAATTATAGTCAGTGAAGATAAAACATGATGTATTGACGAATTTTTGTGAACTTATATTTAAAGAAGGCTGTTACGTAATTATATCATTTAAAAATGCAACATTTGGCCAAGGGTGGTGGCTCACACCTGTAATCCCAGCACTTTGGGAGGCCGAGGTGAGCAGATCATGAGGTCAGGAGTTCCAGACCAGCCTGGCCAATATGGTGAAACCCTGTCTCTACAAAAAATAGAAAATTAGTTGGGCACGGTGGTGTGCACCTGTTGTCCCAGCTACTTGTGAGGCTGAGGCAGGAGAATCCCTTGAACCCAGGAGCCAGTGTTACAGTGAGCCAAGATCGCGCCCCACACTCCACAGTCCAGCCTAGCCTGGACGGCAGAGCAAGACTCTGTCTCAAAAAAGAAAAAAACATCAGTGGCTCTTACAAAGTACTTGTGTGGAGCTTTGATTCCACACAAAAGATACTTTGCGTGTAGATCTTAAAGTTTGATTTTTTTTTTCTTTCATATATGCTTAAGGTTTTTTAGTCCTAGAGAAGACCAGATTCTTCAGTTAAATTTGTTCTTCTCTTAATTTTAGATAGAGTATTAACATATAAAAATCAGTATGCTTTTTTAGGAAATTAGAACATTTCAAGTTTTCCATGTAAACTGATATAATGTTCTTCAGTGTTAATGTTGTGTAGCCTAATGTAGTATCATGCAGCATTTCTCAGAGTGTGTTCTTCAGAAGTAGTTTCTCTGGATGCTTGGTTTAAAAAAATAAATTGGGTTCACATCAATTTGGGAAATGCTACTGGAAGATTTACAAAAGATTTTAGTTGAGGAATAGAATAGTCCTATAGGAATCCAGCAGTAAAGAAACGTGTTTAACTTTTACCTTTGAAACTGGTTTCCTGAAAAATGTGTTTTGGTTAAATCTGTCTTATTACAGTTTGCTAAATTCACTCTTATTTAAATTTACTTTTAGTTAAGCAATCTGTTAACTGGAACAACCAATTACTGAGTGCCTAGTATGTGCCAGAGACTTTCCAGATGCTAGGGACAGAATGAATAAGGTAAGATTTCTGTTCTCATAGGACTGAGAACTGTGTATCTGCCTAGAAGAGAATGTTAAGTTCCCAGGAAAACTCAAGTAAAATGTGAAATATATTAGAATAAGGCCACTTGGTCATGAGGTCACAAACTTTGTGCCAAGCACACTGCTAAACTGGGGCATGATATAGAGTTAAAGAGAACATCACCCAAATGTTTCAGAAAATTTAAACATTTTATAAAATTTAATGCCAGTAAACCCTTGGAATTATTTAAATACAGTAGACTTTTCTCATTTTTCTCGTTTATTGAAAAGTTGACAGATAATTTTAAATGCTTAAAATTTAACAGCTAAGAAAGATGTGAGTTGAAATATGTCATTCATGGCCTTTGTTGCTTTTTGGTATAGGTCTGAATAATAATAGCATTTGTGAGGGAAAAGCAGATATGTACATTTTTATTCATAAAATAAAAAATTGTAAACATCCAGTTAAGTCACTGATAATACCAGCCTAAATATACTAGCTGAATTATTTACCCGTTTTTTTTTTTTACATGGGGTCTCACTCTGTCACCCCATGTGAAAGGCTGGAGTGATTGGCACAATCTTGGCTTGCTGCAACGTCTACCTCCCAGGCTCAAGCAGTCCTCCCACCTCAGCCTCCCGAGTAGCTGGGACTAAGGCGGTACCACCATGCCAAGCTAATTTTTGTAGAGAGGGTTTTGCCATGTTGCCCAGGCTGGTCTCAAACTCTTGGACTCAGGTAATCCACTCGTCTCGACCTCCCAAAGTTCTGGGATTATAAGCATAAGCCACCTCACCCAGCCTAATGTAGACATTTTTTATTATTTTTGAAAAAGAGGACCAGGCACTAGATTCCAGCACTTTGGGAGGCCAAGGTGGGTAAACCACCTGAGGCCAGGAGTTCGAGACTAGCCTGACCAACATGGTGAAACTCTTGTCTCTACTGAAAATACAAAATTAGCTGGCATGGTGGCAGGCACCTGTAATCCCAGCTACTCAGGAGGCTGAGACAGGAGAATTGCTTGATCTTGGGATGTGGAGGTTGCAGTGAGTGAAGACTCTGCCGTTGCACTCGAGCCTGGGCAAGAAGAGTGAAGCTCTGTCTCAAAGTCTGCATTAGTGATGTTGTACACTTGGCACTGATTTACATTTTGGCAGCATTGTCGGGTATTTTCTAACTAGATTTTCTTCAAGTTGAAGTAGATAGAGACCAGTGCCAGGGCTATGTTCATGTTTTCTGAGGCTGATAACCTCTAATTTGATTGTATTGATACTAGCTTTGAGCTTTCATCCAGAGCGTCTCTGGTAGGATTTTCCCTTCAGTGTGTCCAGTCCTGAAGTTTGTCCATTCAGGATTTAACTTAAAAGTTAACAAAATCAAAAATCAAAACACCATTACCAAAAACCATTTTGGAATCATCTTCTGGAGTCTCATACTGGAAAGGTGACTACTGAAGAAAAGTTTACTTACACAGTGTTGCGAGTCGCCTCTCAGGCACTGAGTTCCTGAACACTGCCAAGATTCTCCCCACCAAATATTGGCAGGAAATTGAGACTGGCATTTCAAAATTATTGCAGGGGTATGATCATATCTTTGTCACTTTATTTTTAAGAATTACAAATTGAGATGTATAGCATAGTCCTTTTGTCTTTTAAATAATTAGCTTGTCTTTTTGAAATTTGTTATCTTTTTGACTGCCATTTACCAGAGAATTGATGTAAAGCCACAAGATGGAGCTCAAGCTAAGCACCAAATCATTTTGGAATTAGATTGAGTGAGCTAAGTCACATTAGGGATTGAATGTAACACTTTGTTAAGAAGTCTGAAATCAAAATGTTGTTTAAAGATGATCAAAACTGCTTCAATTATTATTAACTCATTTACCCAGCAATCTCATGAGTTTGGTACTAATGTTATCTGAGTTTGGTACTAATTTAATCTCTGTTTACACATGGGGAAACCGAGGCACACACCATACAACTAAAACTGAAATCTGGGATTCAAATTTAGGCAGTGTGGCTCTAATAATGCCATTCTGCCTCTCAAGGATGTGCAAATTCTTGCTGAAGAGAAAGGTAATTATAGGATAGAATACCTATTTTGGGGTCAACCTATGGTAGATTGGGTTCATGTGGCCTCAGGATCAGATAAAGAGCAGGTTTAAGTATGATAATGACTTATAGAATCCTCAAATCTCTAAGCCTAAGGCAGACTGGATTTCCCTAGGTGACACTTCATCAGGAATGGGCTGACCAATCCAAAAGGGGAAGGGGTAGGCCATGATAATAGTGCCCAAGGTACTAATCAGAGAAATGCAAACTGCAGTTGAAGCTCTAAGGTAGAATCAAGTAGTGGTTTTGACTACATCCTGTTTTCTACTGTCACAGTATAGATATCTCCTCCCACTATGTAATTCATGTGCTACATCAAATAAGGATGCAGCAGTATGTATTTGCTTATTAGGAAATTTGGATGTTTTCAAAACTCAGATCCATATGTCTGGGATATGGCTTGAGTTGGAGAAGAAAAATAGAATCAAATATCTGAAGTGGACTGGTGATGATGGTGAGGGGCAGCAATGTGTAGCTTAGGAAAGTGCTGACCACAACACAAAATTGAAAGGAATCTAAGGCATTGCCACATTTATAAATATTGCAGTAGAAATGCAGATGCTAAGCTGTTGGTTAATCTTACTAGTTAAGTGACTGACTTCTGATGCCATCTGGCAAAGTGATTCAAGTTTGTGCTAGACACAAAATATACATCTTTTTCCCTCTATTTGCCTGCATATATTAATAAAAACACCGTTGCAGTAGACACATACCAGTTTTACAAGGAAATGTTTAGGGGTGAGGTGGGACTGTTAAGTACTTACACCAGGTCAGAGGTCACTGCTGTCCCCAGGGGACTGTCAGGCAGCTAGGAGGCCCAGGGCCACTTTTGGGCCTGCTTACAAAAAGAATCCTAAATTTCCTGCAGTTGAATGTCAAGGGTCTTTTACACTTATTTTAGAGCTCAGGAAAAAATACAGTGTGTTGCCAAATAAGGTTAATTTGGTAGGCAAGCAATAAAAATAACAGCTAACTTTTAGAGAATGCGTACTCTCTTAAATGCTTTACATGTATTTTTAATCCTTCAAACACTGTGGGATCAATACTCTTATTATCCCTATTTTCAGATGAGAAAACCGTTGAAAAGATGAACTAAATTTGCCCAAAGTAATGCAACTGTTAAATAGTGAGCATGGCTGTCTGTCCCAGAGCATAGAATGAATACCTAATTAATGATGGAAAGCTACAGAAAGACAGACTTTTATTTGATTTAAGGAAGCACCTTCTAACCAAGATTTTGGGAGCTGAAATGGGCACCTTGGGCGCCTTGGGGTGTCAGTCTAAGGTGGAGAACCATTTGGTTGGAACGTAGCAAAATAGATTCAAACATTGTACAGTAATCCCTCGGAATCCATGGGGGATTGGTGCCAGGACCTTCCACAGATACCAAAGTCCACAGATGCTCAAACTGCTTACATAAAATAGTGAAATATTTGCATATAACCTATGCCCATCCTCCCATGTACAGTCATATGTCACTTAATGACCGGGATGTTTTCTGAGAAGTGTGTCTTTGGGTAATATTGTTACTCATTGTGTGAACATCATAGAGTGTACTTACACAGATCTAGATGGTATAGCCTACTACACTTAGGCTATGTGGTATAGCCTATTGCTCCTAGACTACAAATCTGTCCAGCAAGTTACTGTACTGAGTACTGTAGGCAACTGTTCCACAATGGGAAGTATTTGTGTATCTAAACATAGAAAAGGTACATTTAAAA